GGGGTATTTTCATTCCCTGGGGTAAATGCCGAGTAGCCATAGTAGTAAGTGTGTGTTTAACATTTTAAGAAACTGCTTAACTGTTTTCTGAACTGCTTGGAGCTTTGCATCTCCACCAGCACTGTGAGTTCCAGTTGCTCCACATCCTTCCCAGCACTTGGTGTGGTCAGTTTTTTTATTTTACGTCGTAATATACACGTAGTGGCATCTCACTGTGGTTTCAATTTCCATTTCCCTGATGACATATGAAGTCAGTGTCTTTTCATGTGCTTATTGGCCATTTGTCTGACTTTTGTGAAATGTGTGATATAATTATTTGTCCGTTTTTTAATGGAATTAATTGTTTTATTATTGCGTTGTTAGAATTATTTACATATTCTGAATATAAATCCTTTGTGTGATATATGTGCTATGAATGTTTTCCCCAAATTGTGGCCTGCTTTTTTTTTTTTTTTAAATAGCATCTTTAGAAGAACAGGGTCTTTCTTTTTGGTGAAGTTGAATTTATCAGTTTTTTTTCTTCATGGTTTCATGCTTCTTGTATTCTATCCAAGAAACTTTTTTCTACTTTAGCTTCTTCTAGAAGTTTTGTGGTTTTATGTTTTACAGTTAGGATTATGATTAATGTACAGTTAATTTGTGTGTGTAACGTGAGGTAAGAGTTGATATTCATTGTTTTTACATATGAATATTCTATTTGTCCAACAGCATTTGTTGAAGAGACTTTCCTTTCCCCATGAATTACCTCAGCACCGTTGTCACAAGTCACTTGGCCATATGTTTGTGAGTCTATTTCCAGACTTTCTCTTACATGTCGACCTTTACCCTAATACCCCACTTTCTGGATTACTCTAACTTTGCAGTAAGTGTCACAGTCAGACAGGGCAGGTCTGGTAACTGTGTTCTTTCTTACACTTGTTTTGATTATTCTAAGTCCTTGGTGTTTTTGTGTGAATTTCAAAATTAACTTGTCAGTTTCTACAAAAAAGTCCTGGCATCTTGATTGAGATTGCACCGAATGTGTAAATCAGTTTGTGCAGAATTGATATCTTAATAACATTTAGTTTTCCCATGAACATGGTATATCTCAGTATTTATTATATTTGGGTCTTTTACATTTTCTCTCAGCAAAGTTTTGTAGTTTTCAGTGTAGATATTTTTAGTGAGTGTTGTTAGATTCATTCCTTTGTAGTTTGTTTTCTGTTTCTATTAATGAAATTTAAAGTAATTTGCCAGGTTTTACTGCAAACGTATGAGAATATAATGGATTTTGTGACCTTGGAAAATAACTAATTAGTTCTAGTAGTGGTATCTTAGAGTCCCCAGAAATTTCTATGTAAAGTAATAGCGTCTGCAAGTAGGGATAGCCTTACTTCTCTCTGACCCAGAGCTCTTTTTCTTGCCTCCTTGCAAAGCTAGGGCTGCCGTACAGTGTTGCCTAGAAGTGCTGAGAGCAGGAATCCTTTCATTTCTTCCAGTCTTAACAGAAAACAATTCAGCTTCTCAGTTTAGCTTTTTGTAGGTACTCTTTTATCAGTTTGAGGCTTTTCTTGTTTGCTAAGAATTTTTATTGTAAATGTGTGTTGAATTTTGTCAAATACTTGTTTGCATATTTTCAAGTGATCATGTGGTTTTTCTCCTTTGTTTCATTAAAAGGACAAATGATATGGTTGACTGTCAAATGTTAAACCAACCTTGCATTCCTGAGACAAACACTATTTCCTCATGATGTATTACCCGTTTATTTATTATTGGATTCAATTTGCTATTTTTTTTGTTGTTGAGGATTTTTACATCTATATTCGTGAAAAGTATTGATCTTTGATTTTCTTTCTTTCCTTTTTGTTTTTATCAGGCTTCGGTATTTAGGTTAAGCTGGCTTCATAAAACATATAAACTAGTATCAAAACCAGGAGGGTAATTGTGGTCATCCGTCCGTCCGTGCCCCCCCCCCCTGCATTCTGATAAAGTTTGGTGTTATTTCTTTCTTAAATTTTTGCCAGAATTTACCAGTGAAATGGCCTGAATGTGGAGTTTTTTTGGGGGAAGGTTTTTGTAATACCTTTAAAATTTTCTGATAATGAAATAAATTTTTATTGGATATAGGCTCTTCAGATTTTTTGTTTCTTACGTCTACACAGACATTTTACGCACCAATTTCTGTTTGTTGGAGGGAGAGGTGTAAACTTCATGAGAGAAGTGATGTCCTGGGGCTTGTTGACTCTCCATGTCCCCATCCAGCTCCCCCAGTGGTGTCCCCGTCCTAGGGATGGTGGGGAGTGTGCTGTGTAGCTTGGCCAAGCGAGAGGTGTCTGGAACAGCAGGGGCAGATTGGAAGGAAGAGGGGGAAAAGCTAGTTGTGCAGGCAGCTAGTGGTTGTTTTGTCCCAGATGTTGATTTTGTAGGGAAAAAAAGATTGGATATATTTTAAAACTCTTTACTGTAGAAAATTGAGAAAATACAGAAAACCAGAAGGAAAAGAAGTCCCTCAATCCTATCACCGGCAGGGTCAGCTTTCAGTTTTCCTCCCTCCCTCCGCAGCACTGCGCTGTAGATGCACCCTTTCATAAATTCCTCGGGAACCTTGTTTTCCCCCTTGGTGTTTTGTCCATTTTCTGGCTGCGTAACATCTGCCTGGTAGCTTCCCCGAGGCTTACTTAACCATTGCATAGGTCCAGCATTGAGGCCAGCTCATCAGTAAAGACATGCCCAAGGCTTGGTCCCCAGGGTGGACATCTGGCATCAGCAGATGGGAGTGTGGGCGTTCTCACCTCGGGCCACTGTGCTCGGGGATGTCTTACTGGGGCTGTCCTACTGCCTAATTAGACTGACCTTCAGTGGTCAGAAAAGTACAGGACCCACCTTGGGCTGCAGAGGTTGCTGATGAACCCCTCCCATCCCCACTCTCCTCTCCCCACTCCCCAGTACTTGCTAACTGTGATGTTACTATAGATGCACTTGGGTGTATGCAGGTTCACCATCAAACCATCCCAGATAAAAACAGGTAAAGCATGACGGTGTGGTGGTGGCCAGGTTTAAGATTGCCAGTGTTTCTACCCTGCTCTCCCCATCCTCATGTCCCTTGGATCCGCTGCCAGGGTACTTGGATTTAGGTTTCATGATCACCGGGAATAGTCACCCTAGGTGTTTGAGCGAATGGCTTGGAGCTCACTGTTCCCTCTGTGCAGTAGCCACGGGGGAGATACAGTTAGTCCTTTCTGCTGTGGCTGTGGCTGTAACACAAGTGCAGTGGCCCTGCAGCTGAGAGCCGATAACATAATAGCCGCCTGGGAACCGCACGTTGCGTCTTAGATCTCTGCGTTTTGCACAGAACTCACAACGCAGCTGTAGCCCATGCATTGGGCTCCTTCGCTCTTCTGTGGGCCCACCACGCTTTCGCTGCGCAACTTCCTGCGCTCCTCTAGAAGGCAAAGTCCTGTATTTACTGTGGCAGTTCCTTATTACTAGTGTTTTTATTAGAATTGCTGCTTGGTAATGCTTGGTTACAAAGCTCCATAGGTTGAGTGGTCTGCCCCACCTCACCCTTTTCCATGAGACTTACTATTTTTATTGTGTACTTTCATAGAATGAGAGGGTTTGCTGCAACTCAAAAACACTTGCAAGGTTTTACCGACACTAAGATTGTTTTTTATTCTCTTTTTAATACAAATAACATATTCATTATGAATAAGTGCCATAAACCAAAACAAACAAAAAACACTCATAATCTAATCACTGAGATCCTAGACACAAACACTATTATGGAGACCTGTGGTTCTCAAACGTGGGTGGGCTAAGGGTCAGGAGATGAGATCGGCCCACAGAACATTTGGCAGAGACATTTTGGGTTGTGACACCTGGGGGGCGGGGGGCGGGCTGGGAGGCGGGGAGTGGCGTGTCCGGGTTGCAGCTCAGCAGCCTACCGTGTTGTGGGAGATAACGAAGAATTATTGGGCCCCAAATGTCAGTAGCACCGAAGTAGAAAGACCCTGGTGTAGACGAATGGTTTTTTAGGCATTTCCCTATGAGTGTCGATACATATAATTTAGTTTTACAAACAGTGGGATCAGTTATACGCATACTAATTTATAACCTGCTTTTTAAATTTATTACATTGTGAACACCTGTGTCTATAAATATGCATTCTCATCATCCTTTCAAAAACTGACTATGAAGTAATAGTGTCGTATGATTGTGTCATAATTTGTTTCACCACACCCCAGTTTGGGGGGATTTTGGTTATTTTAGTGTGTTGCTGTTGGAGACATGCTGGGTGTTTGTATGTTGCCTTGTGTGTGCCCCTTTCCTGTTTCCTGCCTGCTGGTGGGGAAACGCCCTCTGGGGCACCATCTCTGCACCTGGTGCCCTCTGTGGGTGATGGTGCACCTGCTAACGGGGGCTCCTCCCCCAGGGGCCCCCCCGCCACCCCTTTCAGGGTGGCCCTGGTCGCTGAGGTTCCCCTGAGCACACTGAGCACATTTCAAAACTTAAGGAAGCACTGTGGAAATATTGAATAGATGGATAACCCCAAATATGTTTGTCACGTTTCAGTTTTAGGTATTACTTTTTCTTTTTGCTTCATTTTACTTTTTGTTCCGTTTTAAAAATCTGTCTTCTGATAGATTACATGTGATTTTAACCTCTGGCTCAGCTGGCTTTGCTCCCTGCCTGGGCGTCCTGCGTTCCTGGTGGCCCATGTCCTGGGGGTTGGGGGTTGGGCAGGGCCGGGCGAGGGCGCTTATCTTTGTGCACTGTGGGCCCCTGGCATGTCTATAGCAGTGCTGGTGGCGACCCCCCTTTTGCCCCCAAAGCTGCCCTGAGACGAGGTGGGGTACAGACTCGGAGCAAAGTGTCCCATCAGCAGTTCACACCTGGGCTCCTCTGCGGGGGCCAGGCAGCAGGCAGAGCTGAGTGCCTGGAGGTCCTGGAGGTCCAGTCCTGCATCCTGGGGCTGCCTTTTCACAGGGACCTCGGGGAGCCTGGTTGCGTGGTGTCTATTTTTGTGTTTCATATGGCACTCTGTGAGGAAGTCCGCTGTCGACGCACATCCAGCTGTTTTGAATAGTCGGTGTCTCAGGGGGCTTCATGGTGGGGACTCTGTGCGCGAGCCCAGCGTTTCGGGCAGGATCTGAACAGCAGGATGTGAGTAACAGGAAGTGACAGAAATCACCGAGTATGCCAGATGCTTATTCTCGGCCACCTTTCCAAGCTCTGCGGGCTGGGGAGCTATATTTAGGTTGGGGAGGCTTCCAGGTTCCTGGTCCGGTCCCGGCACTGTCCTTTTGCTCCTCTTGGTCAGCGGCTGACCTCCACGGGGCTGGTTGGTTTCTCCGGCGTCAGTGGTCTGCCTTGGTGGGCCCCAGGCTCTTGTCCATCGATTTTAAAACTCTGGTTTTGTGTTTTGTTGGGCCAATTCAATTCTGATCCATTTTGAGCAGTTGGAAAATGTTCTGAAAGAGAAGAGAGTGGCAGGTAAGAGTTCCAGGTGATGGTGGGCGCTGAGGCCGCAGGAAGCGGTGTGGGAAAGAGTTAAGCCGTGAGGATTTACAGTGAAGTAGGTGGAAGGGACTGCAGGTTATGGGAATCCTCTGGAGGGTTGGCTTTTGCCTTCGTTTCTTACACGTGGAAGGCTGGGGTTTTTAAAGCCATAGGCTTGGTGGTATGACCTCACCCATAGGGTCTTTACCTGGCCAGAAAGCCTGCGGGCCGGGTAAGCTTCTCAGTGACGAATTCCCATTGTCTGAGCTTTGTCACAGGAGACATTCCATTCCAGGTCCCCCAAACCAGCACTGTGGACCTGGACATAGCCTACCCAGGTGGAGCACTCACCCCTCTTCATACTGCTGTAGATGGTGGCAGTTGTTGCCCAGTGGCGTTGGACGGTGCTTCAGGCCGGTGCTGGCCAGGTGCCCACACGGGCTGCTCCGTGGCCCCAGAGCCCAGGTGCCTCTGTGACTGTGCCAGGAGCACCCGGGAAGCTGACCATTCTCTCCTGCATCAGCTCCTACGCCCTGACCTTTGCTGGCCTGGAAGACAGCAGGTGACAGCTCCTGCTGCTTGCAGCAGTAATGGCCTGTCTCCTTCGTCCCTGAAGGGGACCCAAGGGTAGGTACTGACACCCATTTTGCAGGTTAAGAAGCTGAGACTAGAGAGACAGGGCGTTTGTGCCAGAGGCCCTGTGACGTTGGTCTGGTGTAACCACTGTGCTGTCCCGCCCCTGCCTGCCGCACGCTGTGTGCCCTCACTGAGGCTCACTGAGCTGGCCTGTCCTTTCAGCAGCAGGACATGGGTCTCTGTGTGCTTTGAGGACCCTGGAAAAGGAAGTTTCCAGGTTTTCATGTTAGCTTCCGGTGGCTGCCACCCTAATGATTCAGAGGAGGAGGGTGTGTTGGGAGAAAAGGCTTTTTGTTGGTCTCTAAAAGCTTCCCTCTGAGCGGTCTAGCCAGTACCTCCCCCTTCCTTGCTTCATAAAGCACCCCCTTATTTTTACACACTCATCCAGCTCCTTGGGACCCAGGGATCTACTCCAAGAAATTTGAGAGGCAAATTAGGCACAGTTGTGTCTGCCACGAAATTCATGGCAGCCAGTGGAGACTGCCAAGCATGTAACTGCCATGGGAGGGCCCGGAGGAGGGCGGTGTGAATGGTGAGTGGTGCGTGCCTGAGTGCCAAGTTGCGGCTGTGGAGTCCCCCCCCACCCCCCTCCCAGGCTTACCAGCAGACTCTCTCACAGGCATGGCTTCAGGAAATACAGGCAAACTATGAATTTATATAGTGCAATAAACTGTACATACTAAATATGCGTGTATATATGCACACACACATATACGAGGTGTGATCAAAAGATACGGTGAATGTTTAAATTTAAAAAATTTATTATAGTAAAAGATACGTTGCCATTAGTCCCCCTCAAAATACTCCCCCTCGCTTTGAACACACTTATCCCATCGTTGTTGCCACTTTCTGAAGCAGTTCTGGAAGTCCTCTTTTGTGAGTGTCTTTAGTTCATCCTCCACCATGACAATACTCCATGTCACACATCGCTTGTGGTATGCTAGTTTCTGTCAAATAAAAACTTACGTTGTGTCCTCATCCACCTTATTCGCCGGATCTGGCACCGTGTGACTTCTGGTTCTTCCCCAAAGTCAAAATGACCATGAAAAGGAAACGTTTTGAATCAATTCAGAACATCAAGGCAGCCACGACAGCGGCTGTAAAGACACTCACGAAAGAGGATTTCCAGAACTGCTTCAGAACGTGGCAAGAATGATGGGTAAGTGTGTTCGAAGCGAGAGGGAGTATTTTGAGGGGGATTAATGGCAGTATGTCTTTTACTGTAATACATTTTTTTAATTTAAACATTCACTATATCTTTTGATCACACCTTATATATAAATATCCAATAAACTATAAATATGAGACATACTATGTGTCTCTAGCTCTGGCTTGGGTATGTTAGCATATTTTTGTGCCATAACATTTAACAGTTAAAAAATGATTGACTGTTTCAGGCATTTAGAAAGCGACGTAACAAACAGCCACGCATACTTCCCAGCCTGAGAGAGAAACATGATGGGTATGCTCGGGGTGCTTCGTCTTCCCTTCCTGTGCTACCCACTCCTGCCCTCCTTCCCCAGAGGTCACCACCATTCTGAGTTTGGTGTTATCATTTGTTTGCATGGATTTTATACTTCTCTACTCATATAGGTAGGAGGTGAAGGTGAGGATATGGTTGAGCAAACAGTGGCCCCCCAGCACGGGGGGCAGGTCAGCGTGAGGACGTGTTTAGGTGTGGGAGTGGGACCCCTAGGGGCCTGCCTGGTGGGCAGTGGGACCTGGGGAGGCAGCTTGTGTTGGCGGTTTTTCTGGTTGCCCCTTGAGCGCACCTGCTGTGAAGGGGTGTGTGGGGCCAGCCCCCCAGGAAGTGCAATGCTGTGTGAGAGCAGGACCTGGGGCTCACGGCGGACAGGAGGCATAGCGTCACTGATGCTTCAAGCCCCATTGTGTGTAGAAATGAGTCCTGTCATTTCCGGTGCTCTGTCCTGTGCAGGCTCGAGTGCCTGTCACAGCTGATAGCAGCACCGTGACCCTCATGTGGACTTGGACTCGGGACTCAGGCCTATGAGAGGTGTTGGTTTTCTGTGAGACTGTGTGCCAAGGGTGTGCCGCATGTTTCCGCGGCAAGTCAGATGTTTCGTGAGCTTGTGCTGCCCACACAGGGACTTGAGCAAGATGCCCTTGGCCTTCAGGATACAGGGTTGTCCTGGAGCTACCCCCAGTTCCCCATTTAAACCTGTGAGGTGTTAGGAAATGCTGGTTAATGAAACCTGTATTTTGGGATCATTATAGATTCGCACAGAATAATTCAGTTTCCTTTGCGTCCTTTACCCGTTTGCCCCAGTGGTAACCCCCCTGCTCAGTGTCACAACCCAGATGCTGACACTGGTCCAGTCAGGATCCCAACGTCTCCATTCCCACCAGGATCCCTGGTCCTTTTGTAGCCACGCCCACTCCCCTCCTAACCTTCCCTCCATTTCTGTAATTTTGTCGTCTCAAGAATGTTCTAGAAATGGGATGGCACAGTGTGTAAGCTTCTGGGATTGGCGCTTTGCACTCAGCTAATGGGGAGCTCCCTGCAGCTCGCGGCATGGGTGACAGTTGTCCCTTTTTATTATCGAGTAGCATTCCACAGGATATTTCATCATTTACTGCTGAAGGACACTGGCTGTTTCCAGTTGGGGTGATTCCGAATAAGGCTGCTCCGAACATACATGGAGAGGGTTTTGTGTGAACATATCTTCATTTCTTTGGGATAAATGCCCAACTGTGTAATTGCTGGGTTGTTTCATAGTTGCATGTGTGGTTTTTAAAGAAATTGCCAAACTGTTTTGCAGAGTGGCTGCCCCATTTTACATTCTCACCAATCACGTGAGCCAGTTTCTCCACTTCCTCTCCAGCGTTTGGAGGTGTTTTTCACTTCAGCCATGTAGCCAGTGTATAGTAACATGCATTGTGATTCTAGTCAGCCTTTCCTTAATGGCGAGTGATTGTTACATCCTTTCCTTGGGCATATTTGCCTCTGTACCTCTGACACCGTGGGGGTGTGGCTGGCAGGGGTGAAGGTCCCTCCTTGGCCTTCTGTGGACACCCCTGTTGGGGTGCTGAAGCACCCGGTTACAGCCTGGGGGGTGCGGGTAGGCGTGGGGGCCGAAGTTTTATGTGGCTCCTTTCCGGGTCCTGTTGGCAGAGACGGCAGCTTGTGGAGGGCTTTACAATTTTCCTGTGTCCATTGGTGTTTTGGCTGCAGCTTCTTCAGCTGCGTATCCCGGATGTCCTGGACAAGCCAGAACCCAGGGAGCTCAGCACTGGGTCCTTCCTCGGCCCCTAGTCTGCCTGCCCTCTCTCTCTACCCTTCAGGCTGCTCTGATGTCCAGGGTTTTAGTTGTACTTAGCCAGAGGAATAGGGAAAAGTATGTCTAACAATCTTCCCAGAAGCAGAAGTCCGTTGGTTACTTTCATCATTTTTTTGGGTCCATGACATCCGGCAAGAGTGTCTGAGCAGCTCCCAGTCCAGCTGCATGTCCGCCTGCCTGCTTCACATGGCCTTTGTCCCACCCCAGGCTCAGGGCCTCACATTTATTATATCACTGCAAAGGCTGTTTGGTTTGGCCCGTGGCTCCAGCATGACAGGGTTTGCAGGATCGTGGTCTTTTGTCCTTTAAGGTCTTGTTTACAAATGAGAGGCGCGTCCAAATCTGTGATTGGGAATCGCTGGACAGGATGTAGCTTGTGAATCACGCTGCCCTCGTTGTCCTCCAGACCTTACGCCTCTACCTGGTTTTGAATTCTTGGGACACCTGGTCTGAGTGGGAGGGGCAGCGGTCAGGTGACTCCATGAGATGCCGTATTGTCCTTGTCCTTGCGCTGATCCTACAAGCCAGCATTTGTGCCAAGAGGAAGTGGCTCGTTCTGAGTAAACCCAGGAGAGCCCTTGGCGAGTGCCAGTTCTCCCACCTTCGGCCCCCCCAGTGCTGGCATTCTTCACGCAGCTGTCTTGCTGGAATCCAGGTGGGAGGCTGCTGCGGGGCAGAGCGCAGGGGCCAGGCCTGGAGCCCGCCTGCCTGGGTCCCCGGCCCGCTGCTCCACTGGCTGTGGCCTCAGTGTCCCCTCTGCTTCCTCCTACTTCTCCAGGTTGTGGAGAAGCTGAAACAAGCAAACACCTGTAAACACCTAGCAGATTTTCTAGGGCTGAGTGCCCCATCGTGGTGGCTGCACTGGCACCTCACAGCCTCTGTTGCTGTCCCTGTCAAATCAGCTAGTATGTAGGTAATTCGACAGCCCATCTTCGCCTCCGTTTAAACATCACATCTGTGTGCTTACAGCGTGTCTCCTTTTTCTCCTTCATTTCTCAAAGGCCCCAGCCCGCGGTTTAATAACCTTCTTGGCTAATTCGGAAGGTGTCTGTCTGGCTG